TCCCCCGGGGTCGAGCCGGACCGGGCCCCGCATGAGGTGAGGTGGGGGGGTAGGCCCTGTCTGGGGCTGGCTCCTCAGCTGCGTGTTCCCTGTGGAAGGGCGAGGGGGCGGTGGGGAAGATCCCCTGCGTAGGGCTGGGGATTTGGTTTTTTTTTTTATTTTATTTTTTTTTAAGGTTATTAATTTACTGGGGGGAACACCGTTTTCGCTGGAGAAGGGAGGGGGGAACGAAGCCGCCGCGGGGTTGTGCCGCAGCGCGCCCCTGCGGTGGCCGGGGGGCGAGCGGGGAAGGCCCGGCCCCGCTATCCCCCATCCTCCCCCATCACCCCTTTGAGGGTTTTAAAAAGGGGAAAATGTGGCCACATCCACCCTAAACCCTCTTTAAACAGTCAAGGCGTTGCGCTGAGGAGCAGCACGGAGACTCCCGTGCCGGGCGGAGCACCCACCGTCCTTCAGGCACCGCGGCTGAACCGAAATAGTCGGCGCTGGTATTAAAAAAAAAAGGCGAGCTTTTCTGCCAAATAAGCGGCGGGTAGGGCTTTGCGCTTCGGTGTGCACAGTCAGGATATTAAAAGTGATGGTTCCCACAGCAACTGTCGCTCATCGGCGGGGCACAGAGCGTAGTTATAGGGATGTGAAATGCTGAGTTTTTTCCTACATGTGAAGATGAGTCATGCATTGAAATGGAGCTGTATTTGTATCACTGGAAAGAGCTTAAAGTTCACATGCTTTACGAGTTAAAAATACATTTGTCATTTTACATAACATAATGGCATCTGGAGTTCTAGCGGTTAGGAAAATAATTAAAAGGGCTAATGAGTCCTTTCTCCAAGGGATAAAAAGTAGTTCAACTTCGCAGGATGCGGATCTGCAGTACATTGCCGTGTGATGTGACACTACAGCTATTCTGCCTCAGGTTTCCCTTCCAGGCTTTCAGCGGTTCAGCTATAGAAGGGCCTGGTCCCTGGTTCAGTCCACCTATTCTGGGCTAATCGAGTCCCAGAGGAGCACAGCTATTTCCAACCTTTCCTTCTCAGGTTTGGCTTCCAGCCTTCTTAGGCTTTGCACCACCTCCCACTGTGGCAATCGCAGGGAAACGTATTACTTACATTACTGTAAGCTCCCAGGTTGCAAACCTTCAATAACACTGTTCTTTAGTCAGCAGCTTGCTCTTCTTTTCCTTCCCACTGCTTCTGCCTGTATCTGCTGTTTTATTTGCCCTAGATGGCAATTTCCTTCTCTTTGCAACAGATAACTATAGTCCCCTTCCCAGCTCATGGTCACTGGGGGCCAGGCTCTTCAGAAAACTTCTAAATCTCTCTGCTCTCTTCTGTATTTTATAATTTGAGAAATACACTCATTTGCACCGATTGGTAGCTCCCATTCCCTGCCCCACTTCTGATCTTTCCACGTAACTCTTACACAAAAGTCTATGGCTGACCAAAGCAAGCAGTTGTTGCAGTAGGTAGTGGATTACAGCTAGCAGGAGGCAATTTATGGCCCTATTCTGGGAAATATTAAACACTGCAAAAATTCCAAACAGATGTCTACTTAAGGGGTTGCTATTTTTTACAGAGTGTGTCAGAAGCAAGGAATTTCATTAAGAAATTATGACTCTTTCTAACTATTACAAGAATGAGCTTCTACAAAATAAGCTTTGCATGGACGGAAAGGAGGAAAGATGAAGGAATAAGACAAGATTATTCTGTTTGAAGTTAGTTGGTTCTACATGACTCAGTTATGAATGGTCTCCAACTGAGAGTTCAACTGGTAGGATACAAAATGCATTTTCAAGTTCTCTGCCTGAAAAGAGATCTTACTGAAAGCTACGCTTGTTTGGATTCACTACTCAATATTGTCTATTTATGCTTTTAGCAAAGTTCACTGTTTTACCAGCAACCAGTAGTAAGTTTAAACAGGGCAAAGACCTTAAAAATCCAGTGTGAATCATGGTTAATAAGGCCTTACACCAACCCTCTGCTATTTTCACCCACCATAAACTCCTAAAGAGCCTTTCCAGCACCAGCCCAAGTATCAAATAGCCTCACTGTACACAAGGATGACCACAGCTGAAGTACAAAAAGCAAATTGCTCTTTGTGTTCATTTTTTGTCTTAGATCTGCTCTCCGAGCACAAAGCATTACTGTCTTACCCCAGGCAAGACACCAGTAACACATGCAGAATATCTTTAAAACCAGTGACAAAGACAGTATTTCCCAATATCTAAAAGTCTTTGCAACAGGGTATTTTCACAAGTAACAAGGTGGCAATCTGATACTGTAAGTAACAGCCAAAAGTATCCCATGCTCTTATACTAAAATTCTAAATTTCTTCCACTGGCTATCTCTCCTGATTTTCCTTAGCTGATGCTTTTTATTCAGTGTTATTCTGACCACGCTGGGCACCCCCAGAGCAGTCTGTTTTGGGTGCTGGACTAGTGAAACGACTCTGCTCTGGTGACCTGCTGTGGTGCCTTGGGTGACTGCCAACCCACGTTGGGTACCCACTTTGAACTTCCCGCACTTGTAAATCCCAGCCTTTACAATCCACACGCAGTTTGTACCGAGCTGAGGACATTCACTTGTGCAATATCCTTCTCTTAAGCCGCTTAAGGTTTTATAATTTCTCTGAGAAGCTCTGGGGGAGGGAGGAGCATACTGGGTCCAGGCACACACCTCCTGGAGTTAACAACTGGGTGAACCACCCAGCCCCATCACCTCTGACATCTGAAGGGCCAGCAAGCCCAGTGCCCGTCACCTCAGCTGTAGCTGTCCCCCTGTCCGGCTCTGGAAGCGTTTCTCACAATGTCTGCTTTCAAATGCCAGTTTTAGATCGTCCTGGGAATCACATCTCAGATGATCAAAACCTTCCACTGCAGATCCTGCAGCTTCTCCTTGTGCTGGTGGCAGGTCGAGCCGCGTTAGCATCCTTTGGAGATACTGTTGGAGGACACGCTGCCAGGCCCGCTGCAGCTTACTGTGCTGGGGGACATTTTTCATTGAAAAAGACATTTTTATTTACTTATTGATGTTTGCTTTTTGAAGTTTAAAAAAACCCAGTACTATTACAGGATAAGAGCCCACTACGGCAAAAGTTCTTTCATCCTCACAAAAATCCCTAAAACTGTAAATTAAATATTAATCCTGTTTTTACCAAAAATCCCCAACAGCAACAACACAAAACAACTCATTTCAAGAGAGAATTTAGTAGCTCAGCTGTGCCTGCATTGCCCAAAACTAGAAGAGTAGCTTACAGGAGAAAATAAGGAAACAATAAGGTCCTAATCTTGCAATAAGCTTTGGGGCAGCAGCCCCGTTTCTCTGAGCTTGTTTGTTACCCCTGTGAAGTGTGTATTTTAGCCAGTGCACAGTTTGGACACGCTGCTCCTGATTTTATCCTGTGTGGGATATCACAGATATCACCTGCGAGCAGAGAGCACTACTGCTTAAGTACAGAAGGTTAATTTTGGCTGTCCCACTGGGTATTTTCACTGCCTTTCTGCCGTGCTGTTGCAATTCAGCAGCAGTTAACATCTGGGATCAAAGACATTTCAGACTTTCAAATACCTCTTTTCTTAGCAAAACCGAAATATCTGAGTTTGCTCTCATCTGGAGAGCTAGGAAAGCTGATGTCATCAAATGTTCTTTGAGGGATGGCATATTTTGGAGGAGTGATACTTATCTGAATGCTACTGTTACCTGAGTTTATTTATAGACAAAAGTAATTTGCACAGAGGTTAGTTCTTTGATAGCAATGTATTGTGGAAATCAATATCAGCTACAATAAATAAAATATCACCATCAGCTGAAAATATAGTGGCTTGTTTTTCTGTAAGATGACTTCCTCTGAGTAACAGCTATATCTATTTTTTTTATTAATTTTTTTTTCTGGTGTTATGAGAAATCCACTCTCTGGGATGCATTATATAGATGTCACCAAAGAGAAAATCCTCTGTATTGTCAGGTTGAA